CCTTTTCGCTGGCTCAGTCGTTGACCTTCTGCAGGTGACCACGCCCCGAAGCAAAGACTAGATCTTCCTTGTTTGTTCTCTACCCTCCATTTCCCTCCCCAGTTCGTCCCACTGCACCCTGACTAGAGTCCAGCGGGTCCTGGGCATGTGCTGACAGCTGTTACCAGCACATTTCTGCAGGGTGCAAGGCAGGGCCACACTGATGGTACCTTTCAGGATTGGGCACATTTTGGCTTTTATATAAGAAATCTTGTGTCTTGGAGCTTAGTGTCCATGCCCCTAGTGCTGGCAGGCAGTGGCCCTCTTCAGCCAAGTCAGGTGTATATGTCATCCATGCGGAAGAGTCATATGAATTTCTACCAAGCCAAGTTAGGCCATGTACAAGAGCACTTGACACAACACTGCCCTTGTGTAATCTGAGCACACCTGCCCTGGCGGTCTGATGCTTTTTTTCCCCAGGACACAGGCAGGGGTGGAGGTGGGAGAGCTTTGTTTTATTCTCTTAGCAGTTCAAGCCCCAGTTAGCCCTTTGGAAACACTTTTAATTAAATACAGTTCGTGTTTGCACCTTGGTTGGGATTCCAAGAACAGATTTAACGAGGTTGAAGGACACCACCTTCTGCCTCTCCATGGCCTCAGGAGCACCAGGTATGGTACAGGCATGCAGGGCAGCCATCTCTTAAGATTGCCAACCCTGGCAGGTGTGCAGGTACAGTGGCTCCCTGGGGTCGTGGATTCCTGTCCACAGCAGGGTTAGAACCCTCGATGGCAGTTCCTTCCCACAGAGCCTCCTCACCCCTGCTGCATCCAGTGCCCCCCCCAGCAGGAAAGCAAGGTGCTACTCCCCTCCATCCTTGAACGTTCTGCCATACTTGTCTTGATTGCTTGTCTGCCAGTTAGGGAGATGACTAACCTGATAAAGCATTGTCGAGCACCCAAGTTTGACCCCCAGAACCCATGTCAAAAGTTAAGTACAGTGGCATATGCTTGTAATCCCAGCATTGAGGAGGCAGACACTGGCACATTCCTAGGACTTGCTGGCTAGCCAGCCTGCTCTAATCCTGGGGTGAGCTCTAGGTCTCACTCAGGTGACTAGCTCCTGAGGAGCAGCACCCAAGATTGTCTTCTGGGCTCCACATGCATGTGCACATACATGCTATCTGTCTGTCTTTATCTGTCCATCTATCTCCCTGCCTCCCCCACACACATACACAGCCTGTCTGCTCACTGACTCATCATAGACAAGGAGCTTACTCAGCAGCAGGTCCCTTCTTTCAAGGCTAGCGCTGCTGCACAGCGCCTGCTGTCTCTGGGATGCTGGTCACCTTGCTAGTGACAGTTGGACTATTAACCAGCTGCTGCCACTGAGCCTTTTACTCCAAGCATTCTGGGACACTGTGCACACACTAGGCAACCAGCAGGGGAGGTCCCAGCACTGTCTCCACTTTACAGATGAGAAACAGAGACAAAAGAGGTATGAGGTTTACCCAGGGTCACACAGCAACAAAGGCAGGAGTGGGATTTGGCCCTGGCTGCTCAGCACTTGTAGGCAGTGACTCCATATACTGTCTGATCCCTGTACCCAGTGACCACCAAGGGCCGTGCACCAAGTTTTCTCAGAGGACACGTGGAGCTGCTCATGGTGGAGAGAAGGCAGATCTCCATGACAGCATCAGGGACATGATTGTGGGGTTGGTGTGGTCAGAGCCAGAGCTTGAACAAAAGTCCATGATATCTGACCCCAGGATCCTTCTCCACTGCTGCCTCAGCTTTCAGAGCCCCAGCATTGGATCCTAAGAGAGACCAAGAATGTAATCCGGTCAGCACATTGTCCTTTTGGAAGGACCTGTGTGTAAGAGTGACACCCCCCACCCCCCACCCCGTGCATACGACACTGCGGAGCACTGACTGAATAGCTAAACTCTTTGTCAAGGAGCAGACAGAACCACAGTCTCTCTTCTTAGCATTCGGAGCCTCATCTCTCGGCTTCTCTCCAGGGGCCAGACATGGCGGCGAGACTGTCGAAGAGGGTGCCCTTTAGCACTGCATACAGAGCAGGCTGAAGCAGCCCAGCTTGTGGGGCTTGATCTCCCATCTTCCAAAGCAGCCTTGCCTGGGGGGGGGCCTGTTCACTCTGCTGTCGGAGCACTCCCACTAGGCTGCATGGTAGATCGGCAACTGTCTGCATCTGCATTGTCCTTTGAAGGGGCCATAGTGTCCAGGATGTGGCCCAGTCGTCCCCTTGGCCAAGGCCACTGCTGAGGCTCCAAGTCCATTTCTCTGGGATGCCTGCCTGGGTTGCATCCTGGGCATTGGTGTCCTTCTAGAGTTCTTCTGGTGACCACGCCCACAGCATGTGCTCAGGACTGAGAAGCACTGACCCACAGGGCTTGTAGTGGCTTCCATCACTTTTGCTTCTCACTGACCACAGACCCCACTGGAGCCCTCCGTTGTTATTTGAAAGACAAGGCTAGCCGAGAAAGGCAGGTGTGGAACACCCCACTGTACTCACTAGGTGGCTTTCGAAAGTGGCAGTGTCCTTGAGTTGCTTCAGTGGCAGTGGCAGAGGAGAGATCTCCCTTTATTTTCACAGCCACCAATGTGGCCATAGCACTGGCTTGGTTCTGGGGTTAGGAGAAGGGTCAGGTGCCACCTGCAGAGTTCTAGCGTGGGCTCCATGGAGGGACATACCCGGTCACCATAGCTGTGTAATACAGAGCTGTCTCCTGCCAGCCACTGCCCCTATAACATTCCAGCAATGGCTTAGTGAGTCATTGCTTGCCTCATGTACCATTTTAGTGACGGACAGCAGCCTCTAATAAATGCACCGTGTTTCCCAGAGAAGAGACAACGCTGCCTGCTGCAACAGGAAGACAAGCCTTTTTAAAAACGAAATCTGTATTTAAGGCCGTGTTTGTCTGTGTTCTTTGCCTGCCTTAAAGGTCACGCAGATAGATTTTTCCTTCTTTAGCAGTGCAGGCCGTGAAGAGCCGGGCATTTCCATTCTCCCTCCATCCAGTGAACCTGGGGGACTAAATTAGATTCTGAAATTGAGTGTGCAGTGGAGTCGGTAAGTTACCGTAATGGGAGGGTATTGCTTCTCACCTTGCAAGTAGCGAGGTCATGATAATATGAAGCGAAGTGGATTAAAAATAAAACCAAAGGTATTTATTTATGACCTGCTCAGAATTGGATTGGCATCCGTGTAAGTTGCATCTAATGGTTGAAGACAGTAGATTGATGTTGATGTATCCCCGAGGACATGCAGCCAGGGAGACCTGCTCCATGAATTCAATTTAAAGGCCCACAGAAAGTATCCAAAATGCAAAGGAAATAGGGGTGGGGGAGCAACAGTAAACGGCGGCTGAAGAATGTCCTGGCACATAGCTCTCATGATTGGGGTATGCTCCGTGTGTCCGCTGGAGGTTCCCTCCTGAGCTGGAGATGATGCAGGAAGTCTGCTCTGATCAACCACTATAGCCTCTCCTGGCTCCACCCATACTGACAGTGCTGTCCTGAGTCCACATTAATGGGCAGCTCAGGCACCTCCCTGCTCTCTAAGTAGGGTTCTAGAAACTTGGTGGGCCAGAGTCCAGCAGCTGCCATGGTTTGGGAACCAGTCCCCGCTGGGCTGTGCTTTCTTGAAGCCAACTGCTCTGTGTCTCTTGTCAGCTGTCTAGAGCTGGGATGGCTTTAGGACCCAAGTCCTGTAGAACTGGTATCTGCAGAACCGTTGGAAAGGGGTGTGCTGCTCCCTGGAGGTGGTGGCCTAGCTCACACCCATTCATCTCGGGAGACTCCTGTCTGGGAAGCTGTTATAACCATACAGACCTCTTAGACCCATGTCAGTTTAATTCCTACAAGTATTGTAGTCTCTCTCCCGAGACCTGTCCTGTCCTAGATGAAGTCCCCAGAGACTCTGTGAGTCATCATCTGATAGGAGAGGCCCGGCTGTTGATGCCATGATGTACGGGGGTCACTTGCGTCTTACCATGGGTGCCCCCAAGGCTCTGTGGTTTTTCCCTCCCGTCACTGGCCTCAGATGCTGTTAGTAACTCAGTCTCAGCACTGCCTGTCCTGCCTCCAAGTTCTCAGCTCTCGGATATCCCCAAGCCTGTGGGGATACCCCCACATGGCCCAGTGCAAACCGGGGATGCTGGATGAAGCCGAGGAGCTGCAGCATGGAAATCCCAAAGCAGAGCTTCTCATCCCTGATGCCAGCAGAACTGAGTGACAGTGGCAGGCGCTGTCCAGTGTGTACTCAGCCTGTACTGTGTGTGTGCACTGTGTGCAGTGTGTGTCTAGTTTGTTCATTGTGTGCCTGACTGGTGCCGACATGTCCCTGTGGTCTATGTGTCATCCCAATGGCCGAAAGGCCAGGCTGCTACTCTGTTTATAAAAGAGGTCCCTGGGCTTCTAGGGTGACATGAATGGTTGTTCCTAGTTGACTATCTTATTGTCCAGCCCCCAGTGTCAGGACTTGTTCCCTTTGGTCTTGGAGAAGAGCGGAGGGGGGACAGGTGGTTCTTTTGTGGGGCTTCTGTGCTGACTCTGCCTATGGTACAAACATATTGCTGAGACCTGAGGTGGTAACCGGACACACGAGGAAGTGTATAGAGACTTGGTGTGTTACTCTCTGGTTACAGAGAAGCTTTGAGCTCTTAGAATTCTCCTGCAGCCTCGCCTGTGATGCCTTCTTGGCCATGGGGACCAAGGATGCTGTGTCCCTGGAGTATAAAAGGGTTTAGAAAATGGGTCACAACTGCAGTGCTGAGAAGATGCACTGTGTGGCTTCTCAGATGCTGAGCTGGGGACACATAAGACTATAAAGGGCATAGTCTGACTGGGTGGGGTTGAAGGGTGAGTGAGTGGGGGGACCACAACAGCTGAGGGCACTGCCCCATGCTTTCTTCTGCAACTGACTGAGTTCTCCCAGGTGCCTGCTGCTGGGATCTGGCCTGCAGCCCTGGACCCTCCCTAACTGTCTGTCTCTCCTCCAGGAGTTGCTGCTCTTTCTCCAGAACCTGCCGACCGCTCGCTGGGATGACCAGGATGTCAGCCTGCTGCTGGCCGAGGCCTACCGCCTCAAGTTTGCCTTCGCTGACGCCCCGAATCACTACAAGAAGTGAGCGTGGGGCCCATGGCAGCGGCCTCACCCTGGGGGTGGCATCCTTTCCCTACCTGGATGGATGCGGGCCTCTAGATTGGTTCTTTCCTGGTGTGGCCTCGCAGAATGGGCCTCAGCATGGTCCAGAGCTGGCAGCCTCAGTTTGATGAGATACCAAAGAGAGTCCGGGAGAGAATCCTAGCTTCAGAAGCTCAATGCGGCCAGGAGTGACCCTCACCCTGGCCCTTCTTTGCCAAATGCCCACCCTTGGGCCCCTAGCCCAGACAGCCAAGAGGAAGTTTCCCTCATAGGGCCTGCTCTGTGGGTGCCAGGCAGAGGTGGGCAGCCATCTCGGGCCTGCTCTGAAATGCACAAATCTGTTCTCTGAGTGAAAGAGCCAAGTCCAGACAAAAGCTGAGCACGGCTGGGGCTACGCACACAGAGCCTCCAGTGGCTGCCATGTTCAGACCTGGTTTAAACAGGCCTGGAAGGCTGGGAGACAAGAAGAGGCCTCTCACCGCACCTTACTCTGTTTTTAATTACCCCACTACTTATCCCGGCAGGGGGTGGTCAAAGAACCTCCAGGGAGGCAGGAGTCTTTGTCAGTCATGGGCCCACTCTTGGCCATGACAGGGCAGATGAGTGGCTCTGCAGTCCCAGCCTCTGGGGAGGTTCTTCCCTTCTGCATAGGAACAACCAGGAGCTGCTGGGCTGGGGTCCCTTCCTACCCTGCTGCCCTTTCAGGATCCGCTGGTTTGGAGCCGTTGCCCTGGCTGCTCCAGGGCCCTCAGACTGGCTTCCCACATGTGCTTCTAGGCTGCCCCAAGCTGCCTGGCCTGTGATGTGGGATCCCCAGGGACTACCAGGCCAACCATAGGACAAGAGCTTCGGACTCCTAGAGCAGGCTCCTATCCTCAGTTACCCACCGTGGCCCACTCTGGCCTGTCCCTCCCTTAGGAGCAGCGTACCACTGCCCAGGCACTAGGACACTGCCCAGAGGCTGTGGGGGATGATACAGGGAAGATGCGTATCTGCTTCTATTCCGATTATCCTGGGTCAGATAGAGCATGACATCAGCAGTGCTGGGTAGGCAGTTCGTGTCCTGGATCAGTAGGGGGACATGCTCCCTCAGACCAGTGCCTATCCTGGGTGAGGGGCACCCAGCTATGAGGAAAACTGCTTCCTCTTTGGCTCTGTGGGGAAGCACCATCCTTCCTGACCCTCCCATGGTGCAGAATGCCCCTCAGACAGAAGGAAGAACTGCTCCATGGTGGGTTGTTTTTATGATATGACAAGGACCCATGCGGTTAACTTAAGCCCTGAATGTATTTTAATGTGTGCAAATGCTTGACTGGGTGTAAGGGACGCTGGCGACAGTCCTGCGTCTGAGCCAAGCAGGATGTGTGCTTTGAATGTGATGTGTTGGAAACAGAAAATAAAGATGCTTCATCTGGCTCCTGGTCTTTACATTTTTATCCCATTTATTTGGGGAGCTAGTGTGTCTGTGCCATGGCCGAGGAATGGAGGTCAGAGCACAACTTGCTGGAGTCTCTTCTGTTATGTGGGTATCAGGGATCAAACTCAAGATGGTCGGCCTGATGGCTTACCCACGAGCCACTCTTCAAGGCCCAGGCCCCAGCACTGGGCCCTGTACTCTCGGCCGTGCCTTCATCACAGCAGTACTGTGGCCTCATGACATACTTGGGGCCTCATAAGAGGAAGGAGTACTTGTCCAGATGGCCTCCGGAAGCCACTTGCCTGGGGGTTAGGGTGGGACACAGACCTGGCCCTGATCCTCTGAAGCCAGGATTTGGTACTCCCAGGACCCAGCAGAGTCAGTGTCAAGGTCCAGCACAGACAGACCCTCCATCAGGCTCTGGACAAGAGGCAGCTCCCCGAGTTTCCTTTGTAAAAAGCCTGCACGGAGTCGACCCTGGAATCTGGGTCCCTCTTCCATACTCCTAGGAACTCAGGGCGCGTCATCCCCCCTGCGGCCAGGCGTAAGACTCCAGCCCTGGTCAAACAGCTGCCACATACTCTCTTTTACTACCATGAGTGATGCTCAGTTACTACCTGAGGTCTTCCCTGCTGACACTGGTACCCGAGTCCCAGGGTTCCTAGATAAGACCCTACCCTGAGTGGTACCCAGGAACACCCAGTCCACAGAAAAGACCCTACCTGCTAAGCTCTACTGCTGTTAAATGCCTGAAGTGACCCCCTGGAGCAGTCAAACCTCCGGCAAGGGCAGCTGTGTTGGGTAGCGGTTTTCCTGGGGTGACTTGATCATGTGGGAGCACTCATGCAAGTCTTATATGGCAGCATGGAGGTAGGCTTTGTATCGAGTGCACCCGGACAGCCTCCAGATGTGTGTCACCCTGGGCCAGCAGCTCTGGGCAACCCCAAGGATCTGCCTGCCCTATCCTGAGGGTGTGTGCAGGGACAGAAAGCCCTCCTCCTGGAGTCTTCCTACCCTCTCTTCTCTGCCCTGGCCCACTCATCTCTCACCCCAGCCATGCTTCCCCCCAGTGTGGCACCCAGCTCACGAGGACCAAGCCACACAGGTCTGCCCCCACATAATGTGGAGGCCTTCCAGATCCACTTTGCAGCCCCTGCCCTGGGAGATCCTTAGCAGGGAATAATTTCAGGGGCACACAGATGAATGAGCCTTTGGGTCCGTTCATTGACAGGTTGAGACTGATTAATATCTCCCACCAAAGAAAAGTGTGGGCCAGATGGTTTTCCTGCTGGATTCTACCAAGCATTTCAAGAGCCAACACCAGCCTTCCTCGTGTTTCTTCGAAAACCCAAAAGGGCGGGGAAGTTTCCAAACTCCATTTACAAAACCAGCATTCGGTCTCCTCAGTACAAAAACTAGACAAGGACATTCAAAGACAATTAAACTGCAGGCCAAGGTCCTTGAGCAAAAGTCAAAAGAAGAACAGACATCCCCAGGAAAATCCTAACAAGCTGAATTCATGACACACAGAGACAGTCCATGAGAACCAAGGAGAATTTGTTCCTTGCATGCAAAGATGGTTCAGTTTAAGCCTGCCGGTAAATGTGGTGCGCCTGATTAACAATAAAAAAGCCATGTGATCAAGTCTTACAGTAAGAGCAGTTGACAAAATTCAGTATTCTTTCATATTAAAAAAAAATGATCCAAGCTGAGCATGGTGGTGTACCTCTTTAATCCCAGAACTCAAGAGGCAGAGGCAGGTGGATCTCTGAGTTCGAGACCAACCTGGTCTACAGAGCAAGTTCCAGGATAACCAAGGCCTCACAGAAACCTATCTTGAAAAAACAAACAAACAGTTATTCAGACTGGGTATAGAGGAATTGTTATGGAATATTTGTTTACACTGTAAAGATGTGTCACTGCCTAAGGCGCCTTCTGATTGGTTTAATAAAGAGCTGAATGGCCAATAGCTAGGCAGGAGAGGTTAGATGGGACTTCCAGGCAGAGAGAGGAACTCGGAGCACTAGAATCTAGGTACGGAGGAGATGCCAGAGAGACGTGGAACAAATCAGACATTTGGTTACAGAGGACAGGTAACCAAGCTGTGTAGCAGAACATAGATGAACAGAAACAGGTTAATTTAAGGTATAGAAGAGCGAGATGGGATAAGCCCAAGCAAAAGGTCAAGCTTTCATGATTAGCAATAAGTCCCTGTGTCTTTATTTGTAAGCCAGCAGCCGATAAAAAAAAAAAACTTACTTCAAGGAATTACGTGCAGTGTAGATAGAATAGACTTCTGCACAGGGAAGGCCCTGTGCGAGAATTCCACCGTGGAAAGCTGAAGCCCTTTCTTTTAAGACCTGGATGAGGCAAGGAAGGCTGTCTGTTCTCACTGCTTATACTCTACATAGCGCTGGAAGTATTTAGTACAACTCCGGAAATACGTAGTCCAGTACTGGAAGTCCTGCCTGGACAAGGCGATAAGGAAGAGAATTAAAAGGGAGGAAGAAGAAATGAGCCCGTCCCCATTTGCTGTTGGCATAACGGGTTCTCCCAAAAGAAAGAAATTAGACCTGGCAGTCGAAGCCACAGCACACCTGTGTGAGAACAGCAAGCTCTGAGGAAGAACTCAATAGAGCTGTCCCGATTACAATGGTTACAGTAAAACAAAATACAGCATAAATAGAAATAAAGAAAATCAAGAAGGTAAGAAATCTAGATCCTAAAGGCTAAAGCATGGATGAAAGAAACTGACAAAGGCACAGCTACACCTAAAGACGCCTCGTGTCCGTGGACTAAAGAGCCAAGATTGCCGACGTCTTCATTTACTGGCTGCAGTAAAATCCCTGCCACAGTCCAAAGAAAGAAAACAACCCCTGAAATTCATTTGGAATGTAAAACTCATCCTGACCGATGAGCTGAAAGCAAAACTTGAGGCATCATACTGTCTGGTGCCAACTATACGCAAAGACATGGGCCTTAATGCAGCTTGATGTATAATAGCTTTCTTTAGAAACAGAACTGATAGAATGTGTGTGTATGTGTGTGTGTGTGCTGGCAGAAAGTGTGGCCCAGATTTAAGATGGATCTTCCCACTTCAAAAGATTTGGATTTAAGGTGGGTCTTCCCACGCCAAGTGATTTAATTAAGAAAAATCCCTCACAAGTGTACCAATTGCTTGGGTTTCAGTTAATTCTAGATAGTAATCAGGTAGACAACCAAGAATGGCCCTGGCAGATATAACACACTGCCTGGCCAAACAGAACAAAAAACTTAGAAGTGGAGCCATGCATAGAAAGCGGGTTATTCTTTTTAGGTGAGTGCGCAGATGAACTGCCAGTGAACAGATTGATCCATGAAAATTACAGGCCTTCCAAATGCCCTGATGGAGAAACGATGACTGTTTCTATAGTTCGGGGTCAGTGACAAGGGGTTAAACCCCATGGCAACAGGAAAACCAGTGTGAAGACAGACCCGAATAGGAGGAGGAACCCCTGGGCAGCAAGCCCTGCCTGACTTGAGAAACTCAGGGAATGAAAGCAATAGCCAAGCTGGGTGAGCATGTTCTCAACCGGGAGGACACTGAAATTCCTTAGAATAATTTTTTTTAATTAATGTGTGAGCACACCTGCCTTGGAACGTGGAGATGAGAGGACAGCTTACAGGGGTCAGTCCTCACCTTCTACCATGTGGGGGCCCAGGGATGGAACTCGGGTTGTCAGCTTCCTTTACCTGCTTGGCCCCCTCAACTGCCCAGAATTCCTTAGCACATATGGTTATTGGCAATCAATAAAAGTGACTAGAGCCCAGACCACTGACCTTTAAGAAGAAAAGCAGCATAGATGCCTGTAACGTATTCACGTCTCTAATCATTTAAGAAATGGGGGAGGGGCGCATGCTGAGATGTCTGTGCCCATCAGTGCCTGACTTCTGACCAGAGATATCTGGATGCCACCTGACCTGGGAAATCTGTGTCCATTGGTACCTGCCTCCTGACCTTGGGCTACAGTTGGGCTCATTTGTTACACAGCAGTAGAAAACCAAACTGTGCTCAATCTCTCTGCTACATGATGCTTCTGCTAAAAAAAAAAGCTTGCTCTCTGCTTCAACACTGTCAACACTTGAGTGAAGAAGTCAAAAGACAACTTGCAGGAGTTCTCTCTTTCTGTTATGTGGGTCCCAGGGATGGCACTTAGCTCAGCAGCCTTGACTACAGGGTCCTCTACCCTCTGAACTATCCCACTGGCCCTCAGTATCTGCTAATATGACCAGCTTCTTTGGGTTACCTTCTGACTTGTGGGATTGTTGCCCATGCTTTCCCATTGCCGGGTGGCTTGATACTGTGGCTTTATGAGAGAGCCCAGTCACTCGTGATACTGTATAAGGAGAGCACAGTTAGTCTGGTGAGCATCTGGGATGTTTCTAGTTGGAGCTGTTATAAACGGTGCTGCTCACAACATCTGCGCGCCTATCTCCTGGAGGGCCAGCACCCACTGTTGGGCTGAGCATTCATCGAGAAGTGGAATTGCAGGGCCAGATGGTGGCTATCTGTCACAGTAATGGGTACTGACAAATTACCTTCCCACACAGCAAGGTGTGGGACTCTTGCTCCCCACTTTCCCTGGAGATGGGTGGTTAACCTGGCTGCCGCAGGGTGGGCTGTACAACCACCTTGCCCATTCATGACTCGGTGTACCTCTCTGGCCCCTCTTGGTCCTTCCTTCTGCAGCTCAGACAGAGACCTCTTGGGACATCTGGATGTGTTGATGCCAGAGGCGCCACCTTCAATCATTAAAATTCTTTAAAACTTGACTCTAATGGCTGCCTATAGCCAGTTGCATTCATTAGCATAATCCATTTACTCTCTTATTATAAGGAAAGTGGCTTCCTTTTCCTTTTACATTGCCTGTGTGGCTGTGAGGAACTTGGTGGGCTCCCAGGACTCTTCCACACAGCTGTAGCAGTAGGGTCCTTCAGTCCTTGCTGCCATAGGCCTGA